CTTCAATCAAATACCAAAATGGATGTTAAGAATACAGAATCAGATAAAAACACATCCTCTGAAATCCCCACTTTAACCACTGTAGCTCCTTCTGAGGGAGTGAATGCGCCCTTGGGTGCGGACACTCTTCTCTTTAGGTCTACAGAAACCAGAACCACTGGTGAAGGGGTGAATGTGCCTTTGGACACGGATGCCTTGAACTCAGTGGGGATGGATACTGACTCCTCTGTCAGAAGTGCTGTGGCAGATGTGCAAGCGGATGACCAGTCACCAATGACGGAGGTTGTAAATAAAAGAAGAGAAAAAAGACAACGCGAGAAGGAGCGGAAACGGCTGGAGAGGGCCATGGGAGGGATCTCGATCACCGGGGAGAAGAGAGCGAGGGAGAAAACAGATAAAGCTGGGACCTCTGGAATGACCTCCAAACAGGTGAAGGAGACTTATAAAAATATGGTATAAAAAGGAACATCTAATATAGTACAAAGTCCGAAATCCGGACTCGTCAGGACTTCGGCGGTTCGGGATATTTCCGGATATTAGATCATCAGTTTAAATCTAGTACAGGGTTCGTACACATTTCTGCACACAGAAATTAAGTACTATTAAGGGTCATTTATGAAAAAAATTAAGGACCCATCAACAAATGGGAACTGAATAAATTCAATTAAAAATATTAACTATGCCTGAACTTCCCTTTTGTGATAGCATCCTAAAAATAAAATAGATCCACAAATAGAATGCATTATTATTAAACATAATTTAATAAACATAATTATAAAGCAAATTTGAGAATAAAATCAACTTTATAAAATTTATCAGGTAAAATTAAATATTTTATCTTTATAATAGTTTGAGATATTTGAAAGAAGATTAGTGGCATTTTAGTTATGTTTTATTAACATAACTAACATAACATAGCTTTATGTTGATTTTTCTCTTTTATGTCTCATTTTGTCACATACTTGCTCAGTTTAGAGGTTTAGTAAATAGCAGGTAGATTTTATGCCAAACAGCATTAAAATGAGAAGCAAAATCAGAATGATTTGTTACAGAAGACTGGCTGTTGCTACCGCTGCTGTTTGCCTAGAGAGAGGCCTGCTGATCAGAACAAACCTGGAAGCCTTATGTAGGCATAGTTGGCAAGTTTTGAAAGTTAGTTGTGCTATGCCTGTCTGCCACAGTTAGTGTCATAACTTCATGTACAGTTCCTGGAGTTGTAACTTAGTTAATATATTTTAAGGTTTCAATAAGCCACTAAAGCACCAGAGGTGATAAGCTGTTTTGTATTAATTTAAGTCTCACTGGATGCAAAGAATTAAGTTTCATGTTAGTTTTTACACTTCTGTGCAGTATCTTGTGACCACGGTAAAGATTAATGAAAGGCACTAACTCCCTTTAATATGCACAGATAACTTTTAATGGTGACCTGTTAGTTACAAGTAATTAAATTAGATAGTTAAATATAACCTCAGTCATTAAAGATTTACATGGCCACTATTAAATTTATTTTAAAAAAGTATCTGTTAAAAAAGCACTATTAAAATCACAATTTGTCACAGTTTAAAATACATGTTATTTATGACATTGTGTCGTATACTATATTATGATAACTACACATTAAAAGATATAAAACATTTACGTTTTGTACCAACAGTACTCAGCAAAATATCTGTGAATCCTCTTAATTTGAAGCCTTTCCAGACCATTCTGGCTAATTTATCTTAATTTCCTTCTCTTTAAGCATCTGTTAGAAAACTGTTTCAATATGCAAACCAATATTCCCACTAGTTTCTGCATGTTTTATCTCTTAACTTGGCAATCTCTCAAGAATGTACCTATGAGGTTTTACTTGATCTGGTAAAAGTTAAATAGCCCCCAAACCCCTGACAGAGATGAAGTAAATTATCACTATGTCTAAAAGTAAATACAATGTCAGATGAAGGTTTAAAAAAACCTACCTCTTATTTAAAAAGACCTTAGAACATAAAGGCATATTCTTATGCTATTAAAATCAGCTTATGGTGATCTAATTAAACAGGAACAGTCAAATTCAAACTAAAAATATAAACTAGTAATAAAAGACCACACAATTTAATTTTAATCTAAGCTGGCTCAGTCGTAATATAGTTATCGCATAACAAATTCAAATATCGAGAGCAATAAAGCAAAGATGAATAATTACATATTACCAGAGCTGGTAGGAACTAATGATGGATGCAAGAGATGGCCAGAAACAAATTCTGTCTTACAATCCCAAAACCTTAGTTAAAAACTATATAAGTGATCCTCATTCTGGTGAGGAAACGGAAAGGGAAAACTATAGCAAAGACTGAAATTATACACAACTGCTTAATTTACATAATAATAACTGTACATATCTTTGAAGAATAATTTTCTTTCTCTTTATGTACTTGGTGTCTTTATTCATGATGTTTACTCTTGATTTTAGAATTTTTGGATTTAATTAAAGATTTCTGTGTGTTAATTAAAGAAAGAAATCTAAATGCATGTAGATTGTATAGGAAAAGCTGCTAATTTTATTTCTTTAATAATGTGAACATTCAGAATAATTATGAAATGATATATAGTAAGGGCCAGTTACAGACCCGATGTAGCAGAAGTTTTAAAATTTAGTGACATACCCTGAGCATGAATCTAGAAATGGCAAAATTTTGGAATTTAGGATACACAGAGATCGCATCAAGTGGGAAAATGCATAGCGCCAGCCCTGTTAATGATGCACAAAAGTGTAGCTAGGGTTTTCAGCACTTGGGAACAACTGAAGATTCCATGCCAAGAATGAAAAACATTTCATTCTAAAATTCTGCAACATCAATTTGGCATCACATGGGTGCTGCGCCCGGGGATGCATGTTCCCCTTGTCCCACCCTAGCTACACCATTGATGATGCATTGAGACAGATGAAACTTTTAAATTGTCAGTTTTCAATTTCTTTATTAATAGAAAATAATCCTTTTTATAAATGCCTGTCCATGAGATAAGATTAGAAGCATTTTTTTATATTTTCTATGCTTGTGTCTTGTGAAAAGTAGAGAAAACAACGGGAATATAAACATATAAAGAAAAAGACTTCTAGTATCAGAAGTAAAACATTTAAATATTATGTTTTCATTGTTCTTTAGAAAATTCTTAAAAAAGCAAAAGTTCATCCCAAACTTTCCGCAAAATACATCCATTATGTGTTAATACCATGAAGACATTTTTCTGGAATCTTCTAGATTCTTGGGCTTGTAAATCTTGCCTTCAGATCCTTCTACATTTTCCAAATTGCAATGTCTAAATTCCTAAAGAAAAATCACCCCTACCAATTCTGTAACAGCAAAAAGGAAGAAATATTTTCAAAAAAAAAAAAAAAAAATCAGAAAGAAAAAAAAGTATAAAATTAATTTTACAGAGAAAACCGACGCATATTGAGACAACTACGTGGGGAAAAACTCTCACCATGAAGAAATTGGAACAAAAGCATTTTTAATTAATTACATAGCTATTTTGCTAAGAATTGTTCCATAAATTGTGCTAAAGCGGAAAACATTTACTAACCTTGTTTATTTTTCAGATTCAAAATATTGTATAATAAGTCGCCAAAATCGAAAGTATTATCACTTTATTTGATAGCGAAATATAAAATTGTTTCATTTTAATGTTATTTCTTGAATACAATTTCAATATATTAGCATTATTTAAATGAAACTGATCAATGTTATAATATTTTTAAAAAATATCTTCAAAAAATTCCCAGATTTTTGAATTAAAAATTTTTTATAGACAACATTTTGGCTTAATAGTCGCCAAATTTGGAACATTTTAAAAAGAACTCACATTCCTAAACGCAAAAATTTGTTCAAGAACTCTTCATTAGAACAAATTAAGTAATTTTGAAATGTTTTTGTTCAATTTCTTGCTCAGAAACTTGAGTATTCCACCATTTATATTAGAAATAGGAACAAATTATAATCCATGAACCTATTCACACATTCAAAAAATAACTATATCTGTCAATGAATCACCAAAAATATTTGTCCAGAATGCAAGTTGACATTCAAAATGGCAGTCGTAAAAATGGACAGAAATTTCAGATGATTAAAATTAAGGAACTCCTGCCGAATTTGATCGAAATTAAGGACTTCTAAGGACCAAAAATCGATTCCCCAAAACCTAAGGACTTTTAAGGAGTCTTAAGGACCATACAAACAATTTTTTTAAAATAGGACTAAACACATTGCAGCTGAAGGGCAACACGTCAAGCCTGTACAGAGAATGCTCAAACTGTTTCGGCTTGAACTTGGCCATTAGACTTTGTGCGACCTTAGAGACATGAGAAGGTGAGTTATCATGGAGTAGAAAAGGCGACGATCTGCTCTGGGAAACCAGGGTCTTCATGACACTGGACCATATGCAGTTCCTTCTGCAGTTCACTAAGCTTCTTAGGAACCCACTGCACATACACTTTTTGGTGGCCAAACTTGTCATGCACAGTTGTCCAGACTGTTCCAACACTGGCTCCCACCACTGCTGCCAACATCTGCATTGTGGCATGCCAATCGCTTCTCATCAAGTTGTTCACTTTGTTGATGAGTTAATGGCTAGTACTGTATATGAAGGGGACTTTCACCTTATTTCTGTTTTATTTTTCTCAATAAAATTTCAAGTTTTCCTGTTCATCTGGCCTAGTTATTTAATGATATCTTTACAGATGTAAAGCACACATAATTAATAATATTAAGTAGACTATAAATTTTGTAAAGTATGTGCGAGTTTAAATGTATATTCTTTTCTGATTGAAAATTATAAGTAAAAAATTCAGGCCCTGTTTTGTCCTAGAATAAAATAGTGAGGAGAGGTGCTGCCAGGAATCACTTTTATGCATTATTACTATTTCATAACATTTTCTCCCAACAAAATATGAATGCATTATGCAATCTTGGGATTTAAAAATGCACGTTCAAACAAATTAGTTATTATTATTATTCTTGAGTTATTCAAATTAAAAACAATACATCTTGTATGTTTATGTTTTCAGCATATACATAATAACATACCTTGTACAAACCTGTAAAGCCTAGATCTCGTATAACTGTCAAGGCACGAACTTTCTGACCAACAGCTGCAATTTCACCAGCTACCTGGAGACGTATTTTAACAATTTCTAAAGGATTTGTAAACATGACTTGAGAAGCTCCAGCCTGAAATATTTAATAAATGTTAATAAAATGAAATATAAAAATACAAGTTGATTTCCTTTTTATAAAACTTGATACGTTACATAAAATTTCAAATAATGAATCTTTTCTGCATTCTGAAAAACTAATTTTATTTTGCAATGAAGTTCTTAAGTAAATAAATTTCCATAAATAAATAAATAAAATATTTAAATTCAAGTTTCAATATTTACTTAAATTGAATAAAATTATTTATTTATTTAAATATTTCTCAAATTGAATAAAATTTTCTCTTCATTGCCGCTCCGTGCTTTATGCATCATTTTAATAACAGTAAATTTTCAGTAACAATCTCAATTTTCATTTTAGTTCTTCATAAAATATATACACAACATTTATTGGAATTACATAAATTCCATGTATATAAGCTAGTGAAATATTAATTTATTTTATCATCAACATTACAAAATTTTCAGCAATTTTAATCCTCTGACCGGCCCAGTTTTTACTAAGAAAGCACATATTTCCAAAAACTAAATAAGAAGAAATTACTTTCTTTGTTTGAATGCCAAAATGACCTTGGTACTCTATACCTGGATTTATGTACTTTTAATATACTGCCTTAATTTCTTGGACATATTTTAAGATGCACACACACACACGTGCATAGCAAATTTCAATCCATTCTGTAGTAATTAAATATTGTCGTGAACTCTAAGACTACAAAGGATGTTAATGCAACATAATTGTTATTTATTGCCTTAGTGTTTCTGATGCAGTTGTAAATTATCATCAAAGCGTGTATATCCCCCCTTTTACTGCACGAAAAAAAGATTAATGTTTTAATTCCTGGTCAGCATACTTTATCAAGGAATTCAACAGATGAAAGAACTTCTGTTTATTCTGAACTGAATTTGATAACTGACTTTTACTTTAAATATCATGTACAAAATAATTCTGGAGAGATTTGAGGGAAAAAAATCCATACAGTATTATTATCATGAAATTTAACAAAATTTATAAGAGTAATAATCCAACATCTTCTCCAATTAAATGGTTTCTGAATCCTCCATATTTTAAAACTGTTTACATTTGAGTTCCAAATAAAAACTGCTTATACTTTTGCAAATATGGTATTTTCCTTCCTACCTTATATTTTCATATTAACAAATACAAAATACTTATTATAAAAAAGTTAAATTGATTTTAAAATGAATTGTTATGAGGGAAATGGGGAAAATTTGCCCGAAACATACATATTCACAGCAGAAACAATGATTAGAAGCTGAACAGTAAAAACACATCACTATAAAGTTAAACACCAATTTTCATCTACTAATAAATGATTTAGTAATGACAGGATAGACAGTGACATTACAAGAAATACAAAACATAAAATAAGCAAGCTTCTACCAGACTTTACTAGATTTTCTAGACACCTGCATGTCAAATGCTCACCCACCCCAATCTTTCAGGTGCTATTAAATGAATGCTATAATACATTTCCTATGTCACACCATGAAGACTAGGAACGGCCATACATAAGGGCATCAATACGATATTACAAAAAACCCATAAATGTCTGAAGCACATCCTATGGTGTTGTGCACCATGCATTGTTGATATGATATTTCTTTTTTTTTTTTTTTTTTTTTTTTTTTTGTGTGTGTGTGTGTGAAACAAAGGAAGTGTTCAATCGATATTCACTCATCGACCACAAATGTTCGACTAATGGAGATCAGGCGTTCAAGCTGGGCAAGAAAGCATTTGCACACTTTGCAATGCACTCGAGATGAGCCCATCAGCCTTATTGAAAAAAAAAAAAAAGTGTTTTAGATGCTTTAAAAATACAGAAGAGGAGAATGCAGCATTCATCAACATAGCAATGCCCTATTAATAAGCTTGTAATATATACTACAGATGAATGGCTATTAGCACTAATGGCATTCCAAAACATTATTTCAAGATGACAAGCCATGTGACAATCAAGACTGGAAAGGCATTTGCTAGGGGACCGAATTGTCTCTACACCCTAACACAGTAACCCATTTGTGTAGCAAAACCAAAATCTATCACTAAAGACTACACATTGACACTCCATGCAATTCTGCTGCAATCTAATTGCAAACACTCAAAGCTGGTTTGTTGTCAATGGGAAACTTCATACACAATGCCTGGACATTATACCTGCATCAATTGATTGTTGTGAAGCTGTCAACATCAATATTGAAATAAAAGAAAGATTTTGTCCATCTCACAAAATAGCCCCAGTTGTGGATCACGGTGACACTATATCCAGCAATAGGATGCTCCGGTATCTATCTCCTTGGTCCTAACCCTTACAGAACAGCATATTTCATTTTTAGGTCTATTTTTACCAACTCTGATCAACGGCTATTACACAAACTTGCATTTCCTCCACAGTGCAGTGCAAGTAGCAAGTAGTGAAATAAGCTACTTGTGAACTCGTATGTTTACTAAGTACAATGGCTTCTTAACCCCTTAACTGCCGCAGGCGTATATATACGCCTTGCTCAGCCGATGCGTTAACTGCCCCAGGCGTATATATATGTCCTTCCAAACTGCTATCATTTGCTTTGCGCTGCTACACCTAAATTTATTCGCAAAGTTAACGCATCGGCTGCGCATCTGGGGCAGTTAACGCATCGGCTGAGCAAGGCGTATATATACGCCCGCGGCAGTTAAGGGGTTAAAAGCAACACTTTGTATTCTTTTGTTCAACAGACTCTAATGCAGCAGAAAAAATCTTGAACATTAGAGATGTGACACCAAAACTAATGGCTAAGGATGTTAGGTACTAATCATCTGATTGGCTTTCTGCATGACATGTACATGTGCACCTTGCAGAAATTTGCATGACAATACCTTTACTTCAAAATGTGGTATTTTCTTTGTCCAGCAGTGTACATTTACAATAAAATAATCTGTGTGAGCATAGCCTGCAGCATATAAAATTATTAGATAAACACTTTTCAAGCTGAAATCTATTATATAATGCACCAAATCACACTAAACTTCTTGAACTATTAAATGCTATCAGTATTAAAAATTTACCACCTAATATTATGGCTATCCATACTGTATGCCAAAATATAATTCAAAATATTAAGTTAGGTTATGACACGACACATTTAGAATAGTTTTTAATTTTGATGAATTTAAATAGGATGTTTCCAAGTTTAAGAATTTAGGTATAATTGTTATTATTTCATCATTTTTCATCTATGCAGTTTTCAGCATGATCCCCATTTAATTGAATGCACTTATTCAAACAACATTTTTGGTGTCTTCTCAATTTACCAATCAATGGAATGGTTAAACTCTCAAATCGATCACCCTGTAAATGTTTTTCAAATGTGGGAACATAATACTCCTCGCAGACAGTGAAAAATTTTAGTGGCTCTTTTAAGATATTTTCCCCCTCCTTTCTGCATGCCTTCGTAGTGCATTTGCAAGTATGCTCAACGCATGATCACGCTCGATGCATATTCAGAAGGTCCGGAGTTCAAATCCCCGTGAAAGCATTACTCATTTTTCACATTCCTGCATCGATATAACCTAATGACTCTAGTGGCATCTTAACTAAAAAAGGTGGTGGACAGTAATTTTTTAACACCAGAGGATTTGCCGATTGGATCCCCTTATCTTCAGCCACTCTTTAAAAGGGGGAGTATATGAGGTATTTTTTACCTCCTTTCCACATGTCTTTGTGGCATAACTAGAAGCCTGCTTGATGCATATTCAGGAGGTCTGGAGTTGGAATCTGAATGAAGGTATTGCTCATTTTTTATGTTCCTTTATCGATATAGCCTAATGCCTCTATAAACCATAAAACAGAAACAGCAAATTTATAGCTAGCAACATACAAAAGGTAGCTAAGAAAACACGATTTTAATGTTAATGGATAGAGAAAAGTGCACAATTTAGTATGGGTAAAAGTTCCAATCATGGCCACATTGGAGCTGTTGTTTGTTCTTGTATTATTTGTCGGTTGGCAGTCTGTAATGAAATGGCGGCGACACCACAGCACAAGTCTTTTTGTGTTCTACAATTGACAAAACTAGAGTCCATTGTTGCAGTTCAGTGAGCATTTCGCCGTCAATTTAATAAACAACCACCGCGTCATGAGCAAATTTATGAGTGGCATCGAAAATTCGTAGAAGATGGTTGTATCTGCAAAAGAAAAAGCACGGGACGTCCACGCACATTGAACGAGAATGTTCAACCTATTCGTACACTTTACAAAAGGAGCCCAAAGAAATCCACATTGTGAGCAAGCAAAGAACTTAAAATTCCTCAACCAACGGTATGGCGAATTCTAAAACATCGTCTGCACATGAAGCCATACAAACTGCAGTTACTGAATGCATACGGTAATTGTAAACTTTTCTCTATCCATTAACATTAGAATCATGTTTCTATCTTTTGTAGTTTGGAAGAAATAAATGTTTGAAATCTGCTCTTTCTTTTTGAATAACCCTGTACAGTCAAAAGTCGTTAATCTGGACTCGTCGGGACTTCGGCGATTCCAGATTATTGATTTTTTCGGATTATAGATCATCAGTTTAAATCTGGTAAGATGGCATGCAGAAATTATAAAATTAAAAATATGAAACCGTAATTTATGAAATAAAGAACAATTATGATCTAAAGGGTATCAAAATTTACAAAAAAAAGCTTAATATTTATTTGTTTACTTTACTTTCTTTGCTATCGGAAGCGAATTATAATGATGAGGAATTTGATTTAAATCATACAAAGACGGAGTACATCGAGATGAAATACTACATTTAGTAAGGAATTATAAGCCAAATAAAATAAAAACATCTGCCCTGAAGATAAGGATAGTGCCGACAGATCAACTTCCAATTCATTGCACGCCGCGGCGTCCCCCCGCTGCAGAGCAGCGTGAAATTGATAAACAGATTTCGGAATGGTTAGATAAACAAAGGATATGCCTTTATCCATTTTTTTGCAGCAATTCCACTTTTTGTTTAATGGAC